GAAACTGCAACACGTACTCTTCATGTTGTGTATTTTCTCTCTACCAAAATAAAACCATATTACTCTATTTTTGTTTGGTTCAGTTTTGGATCGTTACCGTTTTCAACACCCTAAGACCAACAGACAGACTCTTGAAAAATGTTTCCTTTTTATTTTTAATCAAAAGGTTGGTTTTTCACTCATATTATCTCGACATTACAAACTGAAAGGCTTAGAGCCATCTTTGCAATACAATCCGCTGTGGCGTTGTGCTCACGGGGAATACAAATAAAAACAATTTTTTCGAAGGTTTGGCAAGAACCCAAATGTCTTCGATGATACCATATAGGTTTAGGAGTGACGTTCCTGAGTTGATGAGTTGAGAAGAGTCGGACTCCATTCTCAATCTTTTGATTCCTTTGTCTACGACGTCATAGGTAGTTTCTCTCATTGTTAACACCTCAGCCACTAGTGGGGAACACACGAATGGCATAGTGGTGCTCTGTTTAAGATCTCTGTTTCCTTGACCCATAATAATCCATCCCAAGCCTGCAGTTTCTCTGTCTGAGCTCCAAGCTGCGTCAGTTTGGCAGATCCAATCCTCAAGGTCTTCACTTCTATTGTATTGTTTCTTTCCTTGCTGTTTCCCGGCTGGAGTTAGTTGAGCATCATTCCATTCCTTCGCCATTGTGATGGCCGTAGTGAGAGTATCTCCTGTTGTCAGCTCTCTCTTGTTAAAGAGAAGCTTGCTACGGCTAGTCCAAATGCTCCAAAATAGGTGCCAATGGACCTGTAACTAAACCTTTCGGAGGTAAAGCAAGTGTTGGATTTAAGGCAGTCCCATGCTTGTGTCCGACGGGATTTTAAGTGGGGCCATTCTCCATACCGTTTGAGCGAAGGGGCATTGGAATAGTAGATGTGCTATTGATTCAATCTCCCCGCATCTTAGGCACTTAGGGTCCATCGGGATGTGTCTCTCCACTAGCCTCTCTCCAGGTTCCGATGAGTTGCTGAAGCTATCCAGGGGTCGTTCCATATCTTGAGAGATTTTCCATTTCCGATGGCCTAACCCAGTTGTGTGAC